GTCATAAATATTAGAAAAGCTCATTATCATTTTTACTCAAAAGAAAAATTTATTCATCAGTGTAATTGCTACAATGATTACGCGATTATAGTTGCAAATACCAAACACTTTTTTCTCAGTGTGGCATTTAATGCTGCGCTTTCGGCAGCAGTGTAATTCGAAATTAAAGACGCGATCGCGTTCCGTTGTGTTTTTTTCCGCAAACACTTCCAGACATCATTCGCGCTTAAAGTAGTTAATAAAGTGTGGCAGATTTTTATTGGTGATGTCAAAGGATCTCTTTATAAGTTTATTATTTAATGAAGAAAGACTTTATTTAATTATCTAAATAATAAACATTAATTTTTTTGGGGGCGGAATTAAGATAAATATATTACAAACACGGAGATACTATTTATTTCTTATTTTTCTTATTAATGCTTTATTTATACATCGATTGGTCTAATAGATGTGCACACGTAATAGGAAGTAGTATATAAATATTTATCAAAAATTCTGAAATTTTTCTACAATGTCTCCTTGTGTATATCCGTCTAATCTTTGATATCACAGCAATTTATCATTAACCCTTTGGGACCCAATTTTTTTCTTTTTCCTTTGATAACTATTTTGGGCTTGTTGGCGATTTGTAAGTGAGTTCATATTGTATAGAATAACAGTTTTACAAATAAATAGCAAAAAAATGGTGGAACATATACATTCCAACAGGCATCTTTTCCGGATTGTAAGTGTCCCATTGAGTACGCAAAAAAATAAGTTATCTTCAGAAAATGGAACGTATATATCCCATTGGAGCTCAAAGGGTTAAAATCCTAAATGTAATTTAGAAGGAATCAAAAATAGAAATTAGAAATAGGACATTAACCTCAAGGAATACGTATAAAAAATGTCATCTTCACTAGCGCTGATGTTTCAGCTTTCGAATGGTCAATCGTTTCCTAATTTAACAGACATGTAAATAGTATTTCTATCAATATGTAGCTAAAATTTAAAAGGATTCTTAAAAAAAGATGGTTTGACGGACCGACCTTAAGCGTGCTAATTAGAATCGCGACAGTATGTTATGGCTCCGACCACGTCGAGTCAGGTGCGTGTTCTTCGTTCCGTGAGAAAAATTCCTCGACGGCCCGACCGTCTGGAAGTCGTCACGGTTGTAGATGAACGGAAATCTGGTCTGTCGTGCCGCGTATTTACGCGCAGCTCAATCACGCTTCTGTAATACCGTTTTTAACGACGAAATGATTTCACCATCTTGATGGATATTGCCATATCGGATAGAAAACTAATCGATTCGACGCGCCAGATTTGACCCTGGAGTCGGATAGAAATTAATTAGATAGTGCGCGGCGGTGATTTCTTCGAGAAAGGAAAAAAGAAATTCCTCCCGCGCCGTGGTAATAATCGTTCTGTTTGTTTCTTTCGCCTCTCGCGAAATGTTTTACGTGGAAATCCACGTCTCTTTGGAAACCTTCCAGGATGTGCGCGCGCGAGCTCTTAAAAAAGAACCTCACGTCCGCCCGGCGCGTTTACGTGAGCAGGATGTAGTGGGTGTCGCGGATCTCGTCGCACTTAACTCATCCTCTAATTGCACGGGGATTTTCTTCCCGATACGAGGGGAGACGCCGAGTTGGAGGGGAAAAAACGAATTATTAAAAAAAAGAGAAAAGAGAAAAAATCGGTATTGCGCGTGTGCCGCTTACTTGGTTGTAAACACCGTGAAGCAACGGCGATATCACTAGATTGAAATTTTTTCTCCACGCCAAGTTAAAAACCGCGATAAGATCTGACAGATAGTTAGCGAGAGATAAGATTTGCTTATCAATCGGTTAATAGTACGGCCTAAGCGCGAGCGAATAATGACAAAAAGCTCACGAAGATAAGCTGCAACGAGTATTGTTAAACTCATCTTTGTAATTTGTATTATTAATTTCTTTTTCAACGCCGAGAAAAAGATTTCTTCAAATTTAATAAATTTTATCGCATTCAAACAAATTTCATCATTGGCATGCTCCAAAGAAACTAATATTTCGATTAATAAGTACGATTGCATTGACTCTTCAATGAATATGTATCTTTACCTTAAATAAAAAACTTACTTGAAACGAAAAATAATTTCCTTATAAAGAAATTATTTGTCTCATTTTACATATTTATTGTAACCAAATAATATATTTATTTGATTAAAAGATATTATTTCAAATAATAGCGTTTTTTCTGTTAAATAATAGAGTTTCCTTGAACGAGACAATAAAATGTTTACTCAAGCAATAATATTTCGTATATGTTGTTTCTATGAAACAAATTTTAATCAAATAAATAGAAATACAAAATCTAAAGAAACCTTTTTCTCTGTGCACGTATATATGCTCTCTCTTTCTCTCTCTCTCTCTCTCTCTTTCTCCCTTCCTCCCTCCCTCCCGATCGCTCACTCACTTTCTCTGTGAACCATTTTTTTCGTTGGAAAATACTTTTACAACACGTCTGGACTTTCTATTATCGCTCACGATATCGCTGCAAAAAGAACGTGCCAAAGTAGAAAAAGTAATAAGAGAATAATATTATCGCGCATAAATGTTGTTGTCATTCCGGTACGGCGTACTTTGTAATCCCTGCTCGCGCGTACAGTACGATTTCACTGCTACAACGACGGTATCGTCTGGATCGGTCGAGGCGGTCGAGAAGAAAAGTTCTCTCGCACAACGAACAACGACGAGAAGGCTTGTGTAACGTGCACGATTGATATATAAAACGCGAGAGTAAGACGAGATGCGCGCGAAAGAGGGAGAGAAAAAAGAGAGAGAGAGAGAGAAGGAGAAAGAAGAAAACTCCGTTCCTTATCTGTCCTATAACGTGCGATAAGCAGCGACAACCGGGCCTCTCTGCACATGGAGGCGATGTAATTATTCGTATCGCCACGTCGCCGGATCGGGAAGCGCCTTCGGAGAATCCGCGTTTTTCTCGTCAACGCGCGTTTTTCGTCGTCAGCAAGTCGTCTTCAACGCGTCAGTGGGGCAACTTGCGTTCAAAGGTGGCAGAAATTATTCTTTGACTTTTCTGTGATATGAAATAATATTAATATTAATTTACTAGTGATTTCTTTTTGTAATTAAACTTATTAACAGAAGAATATATTAATTTATATTTAATCCGGTATTGTATATATAATATGTAGTAATATTGTTAGCAACAATAAATTAATAATATATAATGATATATAACGACTAATGATATATAACGAACTTTTCCAAGTAAAAGAACATAAAATTTATTAAAAAATGTACGTAACAATATGTTTTATGATATCATTTTTAACATGTTCTATTTAATTTATTATTGTCCACGTGTGATTGACGTAATATTTAAAATAGAACTTTTCCCGAAATACTTTATTTTAAGTACGATCCTATAAAGAAGAGACAAGTGAAACCATAAAAATTGGTTCAGCAAAGCAAAATTTTAATAAAAGTTATGAAACATCAAGTAACTTTAAAAGGCACAATATTTCTCTTTACGATATTATAAGCCAATACATATATTGTTTAATAAAAAGAACTTCAAAGCCGGGAGATGTTGAGAATAATAATAATTATAAAAAATTTTAAATTATTGTAGTATCTCACATCATAAATATAGTAGAATCTTACATATCAAGTTAAAATAATATAATACTAGTGATGAAAGTAATGAAACTCAACTGTTGATAAATATTTAATTCAAATATCCGAAAGTATCGTTTCCATGCTGGAATAATTTCAGGAACTTCCAATTTTGTTGGTGTATCGCAACATGAAATGAGAATATAACGCACGTGTATAAACAGTTCTCTTGAAGATTAAATTCCGACAGATGATAACAGCGGCAGTCAAAATGACAAACATTTATCGGAAATGTGCACACGAATATGTTTCCTTTTAATTATATGTACATAAGACTTCTTTAATACTACCCCATTTCCTAAGTATAGGTATAACATAATATTGAAAATTTCCAATCAGGGGCATCATTTCTAAATATTAATTCAGCATGATTACTACTTTTCAGCATCATTTCCGGTTTACAGAATAATTAACAATTGCGAAAATTTCCGACGTCGCTGTGCCTGAGGAACGGCACAGCATTAATGGAGTCTCCTGTACATAACGTGAAGTTTGTTTGCTATTTCTGAACTGGCCGTACCAGTTCAAGAAGGCTACCTTCCAATATTCACTGTCAACACTGCAAATCTATAGTTCACGTTACGTACATTATAGATTTCCGGTGAATATCGGAACACATCTTCCTGGAACCGGCGCGGCCAGTTCAGGAATAGAGAGCGAAGCTGCGCTACGCTTTCTTCGAGATCTCAATTTTTCATCTTCCGCCAAGTTCGATAAGTTTTGGCCTCGACGAGTTTCCGTGCGCGCTCGCCGCGACGAGCCCGTCAGCTGACCTTACGTAATCAATTTTAGAGCCGCGCGCACCACTAAAGAGCCACCGGGACGCTCTTTTCATGCGGTCGAGAGAAGCTCGCTCGCGGCTTCGATCGCCTCGCCGCTTTCCCGCGCGCTCTCGAGCACCCTTGATTGAAAGAACGACGATGCAAAATCAGCGTCCGCCGGCGAGGATTCTGCTCGGCGGGCGAGAAGGCGGATCGACCACGTACCGGAGTGGCAGAGCCACGAGGAAGAGGATAAAAGCGGGAAAACAAAGCCGCGCGGGGCCGGCGTGAATCTTCGGCGCGCCGCGTCGCGGGGTTTTGTAAGAGAGATCAGGACGTATATACATCGTGACGAAACACGTTCGAAGCCAATGGTCATATGTATCAACGAGAGCGGTACCAGCGGCTATCAGTATTAGCCCGGTCATCCTCCCGTGCGCGCAACCGCGCAGCGCGCAACGCCGATCGCGCGGCGATCTCCTCGCTGAGCCGAGACGAAGAGAGAGAGAG